GATAGATAGATAGATAGATAGATAGATAGATAGATAGATAGATAGATGGCACAGGGTGAGTTGAAGATGAAGGGGTGATATCTAAAAAAATAAAATCAAGGGGTCAGAGAGGATTATACTAGGAGAAGGAGAAAGGGAGAGGTAGAAAGGGGTGAATTATCTCACATAAACAGACAAGAGTAGAGAGGAAGTGGGGGAAGGCGAGAGGGAATGAGTGAATATTATTTTCATCAGATTTGGCTTAAGGAGGGAATATCATACACACTCAATTGGGTATGGAAATCTATCTTACCCTACAGGAAAATAGGAGAGGGAAGGGGATAAGGAGTGGGGGAATGATAGAAGGGAGGGCAGATTGGAGGAGGGGTAATCAGAAACAAACACTTCAGAGGAGGGACAGGGTCAAAGGAAAGAATAGAATAAACAGGGGATGGGATAGGATGAAGGAAATATAGTTAGTTTTTTACAACATGACTACTATGGAAGTGTTTTGCATGACTGCACATGTATAACATGTATCGAATTGCTTGCCAACTCAATGAGGATGGGTGGGAAGGGAGGAAGGGAAAGAATTTGGAACCCAAAGCTTTAAAAACAAATGTTAAAAATTGTTTTTACATGCAACTGGGAAATAAGATATACAGGCAATGGGGTATAGAAATCTATCCTGCCCTACAGGAAAATAGAAGAGGAAGGAGATAAGAGAAGGGGAGCAAGGTGATAGAAGGGAGGGGTACTCAGAATGCAGCTGTCTTGGGGTGGGGGGGAGGGGAGAGACGGGGAGAAAATTTGGAACTCAAAATCTTGTGGAAATGAATGTTGAAAATTAAAAATTAATTAATTAATTTTTAAAAGAAAAAGAAAAAGAAAAAAGAAGATTTGGCATGGACTATAGTAGCCAAAGGACAAGTTTCTGCTGTCAGAAGTTCCTTATGAGCTAGCAATAAGTTGAGCAGTCAAAGAAGGAAATAACACAGTGCAGATAATTTGAGATTCCCGTTGAACTCCTTGTGGTCAGCCTGCTCTGGAGTATTATGGTCAGTTCTGGGAGACACATTTCAGAAAGGAAATTAATAAACTGGAGTATGCAGGAGGGCAATGAGGATGGTAAAAGGAGTCTCAAGTTCAGGCCATAGGAACATTGGGATCAGGAATACTTGTGGAGACAAATGGGCGTGGTCAGGGAGAAGGCACATTTGAAAAGCTATCCAGGGGCCAGGGGATTCATATGTTTAGGGTTGGCCCCTGGGGGTAGAATTAGGAACAAAGGGTGAAATAGCAAAAAGGTAAACTGAGACTTCACAGAAGGTAAAATGTTTTAACAATTAAAGATATCCAAAAGTGGAATGGGCTGGCTCAGGAAGGACTAGATTCTGGCTTAGTGGAAGAGATCTTCCAGCAAATTCTAGATGACCAAATAATGATCATGCTGCAGGCAGGATTCTTTTTGAGGTACAAGTTCAACTAGATGGCAGAAGAGGTTCCTTCCAACTCTGAAATTCCATGATTCCTCAATATCTGACCTACCACCCTCCAGGGAAGTACATACCTGCAGCCCAAATGGAAGTCATACGGTCTCCAATAATGCCCTAGTTGAAAGCACTCTGCTCTCTTTTCAAACTATCTGATATTTACTTTTCTTTACCCCTTCATTTTTTTTATATCATCTCATCAAAGTTGACTTATAACAACACCCTCTGTCTATGTATACACCATCTAACTGCCCTAATAACAATACAGTTCTCAAAAGTTACAAGTGTCATCTGGGTAGGGATGTAAATTTAACTTTATTGTATGACGTGTTGTGGTTGTTTTAACTTCCTGTTTATCTTTCTATGTTTCTCTTGAGTCTTGTATTTGAAGATCCAATTTTCTGTTCAGCTCTGGTCTTTTCATCAGGAAAGTTTGAAAGTGCCCTATTTCATTGAATGTCCATCTTTCCCCCCAAAAGATTATGCTCAGTTTTGCTGGGTAGTTGATTCTTGGTTGTAATCCAAGTTCCTTTGTCTTCTGGAATATTATATTCCAAGTCCTCCAATCCTTTAATGTAGAAGCTGCTAAATCCTGTGCAATCCTGTGCAATACTCATTGTAGCTCCTTGTTTCTTTCTGGCTGCTTGAAGTATTTTTCTCCTTGCCCTGGTAATTCTGGAATTTGGCTTCAATATTCTTTGGAGTTTTCTTTTTGGTATCTTTCAGGAAGTGATCGGTTTTGTGATTGGTTCAGGAGGTGATGCTTTCAATGACTATTTTACACTCTGGTAAAGTATTAAGCTCTGAGGGTAAGCCTAGGATAGGGAAGGTTGTGGAAATTCAGCTAAGTCCTACCATGCTGGCTATTCCTGGACCCAGGAATTGACTAGGTGAATTCTGCCTGAGAAGCAGCCTAGCCTAGGAGAGGCTCCTCACTAGAGGATTTCTGGCCACAGCAACTCGTGAAGTCATCTAGAAAAATAAGGAGGGATGGAGATCTACTTTGGTGGAAGAAGCCCCCACACTAACAAAATCACAGCTCCAGGAGAGCTGCCTTAAACCATTAAGGGAGATTTGAGAGCTGACTACAATCATCATCATCATCATCACCACCACCATCATCATCACCACCACCACCACCGCCAGGACCACCACCCTAACTACCACTATCATCATCATCATCATCACCATCATCATCACCCAGGCTTATTTCCTTCCCTGTTCATCCTCTGGGACCTGTGTCCCTGGTGAGGGGGTTCCCCTCAGTGGAGTTCCAATATAAAGTCATTTTTCTACAGTTATTGGTGCTTTAAATACACAACAGCCCAGACAGACTCCTTGCACCTGTTCCTGTAAGTGCAGAGACCAATAGGCTTTTCCCATCTTGGGTCTGAGGTCAAGCTAGATCAAAGTGCCCCCCTTCTCCATCCTCCTCCACGCTACCAGCACCATACTATTCCCATAGTTGTAAGTG